CCCCCAGAGCCTACAGGTGGATGCTGGGATGGAAGCTGGGGTGGAAGCTGGGGTGGTGGGGGAGGCAGCAGCAGCAGCAGCATAATAGAGCGGCATGTTTAGGAGAATGTGTTTGTTTGGTTGAAAGAGGGACGAGGTGCGTCACGTGTTAATGTATCATTGGTGCTCGAGTTGACTGCCTGAACTAGCTCGCGGCTTCACATTAGTTTAATAACACAGAGAAGAATGTCTCTCAGGAATCTCTGTGCCATGACTATGTGGCGCTCACATTGATATAGGTTGGTGCTCTGTTTGTGCCTGTGCCTTTCCTCAGGAGTTGGATGTCCAGCTGCATGACTGCAGGGAGGAGTTTTTTTGTCGTAGAGAGCGTTTGCAGGTCCTCAAGACAAAAGAGAAGAATTCTATTGCCCAGGTATCCAGGAGTAAGTCCACCATCATCAGCCTGGAGAGCCAGCTCACAAAACTGGAGAGCGAATTGATGAAACAGCAGGAGACTACCGGTGAACAGGCAAGCAGAGAGTCACAGGGGATCCATTAAGACATCTGTTAAAGGTTCAGATTTAAAGACACATGAACAATATCAATTACTTAAAATAAGCATTTCATTTAATTATTTTATAAGACAAAAATTAAGGATACAAAAAATGACATTATATACATAAATTAAAATAATACATTTAAATAAAAAATACAGAAAACTTCAATACATTTGTATTTAATAATAAAGGGAAAATATGAATAGATAAATACATAAACACAGTTTTATAAACCTTTGTATTATTTGATATGCTTTATAGTTTGACAATAACATCCAATTCCAGTTCATATGTTCATGTTTTGTCCCTTTACTTGTCTTGCCTTTTGTAGGACAACCTGATTGCCATCCTGAATAAAAAACTGGCACGACTGCAAGGCGAGGTTCACTCTGATGAAAAAGAAATTCTGGACATAAAGGTGGCTGAGCTGACCGGAGCCCTGGAGCAGAAGAGGAAGGCGGCCAACATGCTTACCAACACGCTGAAGGAGTCTGAGGTCAGTCTGAGTGTTCATCTTCTCACCGTATTATCTGTTCACACTGAACCAGCGAAATAGCTCATCTCACACATGTCCTCGTCTCTGGCAGGATGATATTCGCTATTTGAGGAAAGAGATGGAGAAGTCGGAGGCTCAAAAGAGAAATCTGGCCGACAAGGTGGAGGAGCTTATTCTTCTCCGTTACACCAACGAAAAGGAGCTGAAGAGACTCCGGATCATGAAACAGGTAACTGATGTCAGCGAGTGTCATGGCAACACATATGGACTTAATCCGATTCAAATTTGTTGAGGAGGTTGAATTAAGTGTGTACACTATAACTGACTTTTCCCTATGTTACATATTGCTGTAATAACTTATTTGTCTTTTTTAATATGAATATCTGTTACTATTAACAAATGACTGAGAAACAATATGACAGAACAACTGATGATGATTTATTTTTAATATCACAGTTACAATCTACAGCTAACCCAACACCCAAACGTATGGCATGTCTAATGCTATAAAATAAAATAAAACCAGTAAATCTGCATTCAAGATGCAGGAAGCAGCAAATGTTTGGCATTAGGGAAGGGAATGTCAGTACGTTGGTCCACAGTTGCCAGTAAACAAGAAGTGATTTCTCCTGGATGAGAAATAGATGGGCACGTAAACCCCTGTAAAATGCATGATGCTTTTGCACTTCGGTTTAAGCAAACACATAGATGTATTACTAAACCAAAGTGTCAAAGGCCTTTACATACAACATCTCATTCAGAGACTCATAAGACTCAAAATGACCACAAAGAAACACAAAGTGACTACCGAGAGACACAAAACCACTGCAATGAAACGAAAAACAGCTGCAGGAGAAAAAGAGGGAAAACAACTACAAAGAGACTACAAAGGGAAACAAACTCCAAAACATACACATTAACTAAAACAGATGTCAGCTGTCTGTAGATTACCGTCAAATATAGCATACAATATGCCATGCATCTGAAAAGGATCACCTTCTGCCCTGCATTATATGAACCTCACATGTTCCTAATCAGGACAACATGGTGGAGCACAACGTCATGAAGCTAGAGGTGAAGCGTCTGAGGGATCTGCTGTACGACAAGACGGGCAGCGTGCTGTCTCTGGAGAAGAGGAAGCTGAAGCTGCAGAAAGCCATAAAGGACAGAGAGGAGGAGGTCAAGGTGTACCGAGAAATGCTCGGCCAGCAGATGAAGATCAGTGAGCACGAGAGGCAGAAACTCAGGTAAAAGCCCAGCAGAGACCCCACATCTCACTTCCTGGAGAATTTGTTCCTTTTTCTCGCTGTTTAGGGCTCAAAGGCCTCATGCCAGTGTGAGCTCAAATGGGGTGGACCAATGCATCTCATGGTGCCGTTGAAATAGCAATCCCTTGGAGTGTTTTCCTTTCTTTTAATGTAAGGAAGTACATTCTGAAAATATTAATAATCAAATTGATGAAACAATACATTTATAAAACACATGATAAATGCATGATATATCTTCAGAAATATCTCCTTTACCTCACATACCAGAGAGCCCCAGTCAGTTATTGAAGTTATGTAGCGATATTTACCTAAGAAGATAATGACCAGACAGGAGGAGAGATTTGTGCAAAGTTAGTGTTTAAATATATTTAAACATATACTTAAAGATAGGAAATAGCTCAATATGTCCTGAACAGTAATGTCCGCTCTCATCAATTGCAACCAAACATTCCATGAAATGCTTAACGTGTATATAAACTGGCTGTCAAAATCTCCTGCATCAGAGTTTATGGTCAGGCTGACAGATAATGACTTCAGCCTTTAACATGCATGTCTTCAAAAACCCACTTTCCAGTATGGCTCGATGCTATTTTGTTAGCAATAGGGTAGCTAGCTTTCACAGCTTATCGCTAGGCCACAAACTGAAAAAGACTGCCGTTTCCTAAAACCTTCCAACATCTCTCTTCTCTGCTCTCAGTTATCTTGCAAGGTCTTTCTGTCATTAAAGATCTGATTGTGAGGCCGAATATGACACTCAGTTGCTATTTTAGACCATTTCCAAAGGGGAGGGGTTAGGGTTATTGTTAGGTACATTTGACTAGTATCCAAAATATAAAAACACTACTATCCGAAGCCCTCGAATAGGTTTGATTCCCTTAAGGCTATAGAGAGGCGAAGTCCCTCCTTTCCGGTGGACCTCCATATTTCGGAAAAAGTATGTATTGAAGTCAATGGAGAGAGAAAGATTATCTTTCGATCCCGTTTTAATTGTGCCACGAATTACACGTATGATGTTTGTCAATTTAAAAGATAATTTTGCAAGTCAAAAAAGTAAAAATGTGTGGTAAAACTGTGAAGTAACATATTTGTTTGTGTGAAACCGTTCAATGAACTACATCTCCCGTCCCGCATCACACACCAAGACGGCCGTCACGTTGGCACATTTCACTTCTTTCTTTCAGAATGAGGCGAAAAGTATTAAAAAAAGTTGAAAATCTCTACAAGTCTGGGCATGTTGAGAGCTGTACATACACAAGGGGAGTTAGTTGGTTCCGTAAGAGCCAGCATGCGGGACCGGCATTACAAGGTTTTGGTGAGTAACACGAGTGTAATGTGTAACGTTAATGACATCACTTACGCGACTCTGGGATTTGTAGTCTTTCTAGTTGCGTATTTTTCATAGTCTTATATTTCAACAGTTTTACGACAAACTGTGACTTTTTTGACATGGAAATTATTTTTTAAGATTGACAAACATCATATATGTAATTCATGGCACAATTCAAACGGGATCGAAAGATAAGTTTTCTCTCCCCATTGACCGAAATAAGGTCCCATCGGAAGTAGATGGGCGGGACTTCGCCACTCTATTGGAATGTGTTGAACAATGCAATAACATATTTGGCTTCATTTGGTGGAGGCTTCACATTACAGGGGCTCACGAGTGAGATAGAGATCAAACGTTGCCCTGAGTTGTGTTTTATGTCATATTTGCATGATTTTGAGAAAATGTGTACCTCAAAAGATCACCTTACTAAGAGTGTTTTTCTGTCAGTGCTGAACTGAATGACAAACTGTCCAAAATCGACTTGATGAAGAAACGTTTCGAGATTGTGATGCTTTCAATGGCAGCTCCTGAGGGGGAAAAGGAAGAAACGCAGGCTTACTACATTACAAAGGTAAGAGGTCTTTGAACACACCACCATGTTAAAAACAGACAGATTTGTTTCACTTTGATTGACTTTGTTTGCTTTTCCTTAGACTGCACAAGAGAAAGAGGAGCTCAAGAGGAAGGGGGACAGTCTGGATGCTACAATCCGCAAGATGGAGCTGGAAAACAGAGCTCTGGAGAACACCATCCAGCTGTTCAACAACAGCAACTCATCATTTCGCAAATCCCTCAACAAAGTCAATGAATCCAGTACGTATGGCCGGGTAGACAGAACGAACCTAAATAAACAACAACACTCTATCGGGGATGATCAGCAGGAAGTGATTTATGTTTGTTTATTCTCCTTTAAAATCATTACAGCAGCTATCATTGACCACAACGTTTTTGTGTTAGGTCCAGAGCACCAGGAAAAAGTTAAACTGCAAGAGCAGTTGAGGGCGGCAGAAGTGACGCTGAAGTACAAGAAAAGACAGGTCCAAGAGCTCCAACAGGACGTACAGGTTCATTCTAATTACAGCCGCCCTTACTAAATACGTCCTCCTTTATCTGTGACCTATCTATAACACTGCACCTATTTCCTTTAAATTGGAATACATCCTCCAGAAGTGGCCTAGAAAACGTATTTCTCCCAATACATTCATTGATATTTTCCGAATAGAACAGATATACAACACAAAAGCATTTGGTCAATATAATAGTGATGGAACAATGACAACACCAAGAAAGAATAAATACTAGAAAACCACAAACAGTACTCGGACCAAAACGAAGGATAACATTAGTCAAATAAAAAAACATCAATATATGTATGATAATAATCATGACAAATACTACAACATAAAGTATAAGTTGTGTTTCAGTCTGCTGGACGACACTTCACAATACAGGGTAAAATTATTGCTCAACCATTTTTAATCCATATGGTGTGTGAAGCAGGTATTTGAGATTTCCTCTAGGGGAGGGGGTAGCCCACAATTTAAAGGGGACATAATATGCTCATTTTCAGGTTTCATATTTGTATGTAGTGTCTCTACTGTGACATGTCTCCATGCTTTAATGTTCAAAAAGCTCTTTATTGTTCTCATCCTGCCTGTGCTGCAGCACCTCTTTTCACCCTCTGTCTGAAACCAGTGGGAGAGAAACTCCCTCTGGAGGGAACACATGCTCCTTTCACACCAACGCGTTTTCAGCTCCGGCTCGGAGCTGGAGCCTGAAAAGTACCGTTTTTTCCTGTTCATACCGCAGC